AGAGCTCGGGTCTTTTTTGCTCTCATTCATCTTCACATTGTGGTGTGTTTTTATTTCTTAGCTTTTCACATGGTTTTAATTCCTTATGGCATTTTGTGTACTTTGTAGACTTTGTCAGCGGAAGCAAACCATGTTGCCTTATTTAGTGTCGGAGAACCGCAGCCTTCTTTACAACGCCCACAATAGGGCTAAAGCGCCACCTGCTGTAAAACGAATGAAATGATTAGTTCAAGATTCGTTCACGACTCGTTCATTTTACTGTTCGAGAGTCAAAGATTCGAATCAATAAAAAGAGTCGGTCTTCCCATCACTAACGCCAAGCTTATGCGCGACCGCAGCCCTATTTCCTTGCCAGATCGATGGCCCTCAACTAAACAGCTGCATCATACGAACTTCTTCGTGTGCTTTCCATGATGAGGGGGTGAGGGTGTGAAAATAATTTGCTGTCGTGTATGTTGTGTTGCATGTGCTAAATAAAAACGAGCGTGTTCTTCTTTGCACTGACTTCCCATGTCTGTCTCGTTTTTCCTGGCGGCTGAAGAAAAATCCATAGAAAAGCCACATCTTTGTATAAGCCGCATGGTTTAAAGCGTGGGGAAAAAGTAGCGGCTTATAGTCCAGAAAATACGGTAAATGAAACTTGTTTGAACCTGTTTTGCTTTACAGTGTATATAACTAATGTATAACTACCCTTACATTCAATGTACATGTATACATATATATAGCTTATATGAACATGTACAGTACACTTGCTATAAATGATGAACATGAAACATACCTTTGAAATTGAAGATGGTAAAAGCCAGTGTGCCCTTTTCTTGTGTGGCAGTCTTGCTATTTCTGATTTTCACTGCTGCGTCAACTGCAAAGAGGAGAGCTCCAACATGTGAACAAACTTCTCCAGTTCTCGCTACAGTATACAAGTGCAATGTCCTGATATAACAGTCCCGTCGGATTCTACGATCATCCAAGGCTTAAGTGGTGCATCATTCATTCTCTGAGAATGTTTTACTTTGGCCAAAAATACACTGTTCTCTTTTAAAACAACATGTTGTTTTAAAAGAGAACAAATCCACTTATAAAGCAATTATAAGCCTGCAAGGGTTTGTAAGCTTTAAGTTCCGCTAAGGTGTAAGCACTTGACAATGTCAAGATAACACAAGTCTGGCCAACTTTCAATGTCATCCCGCTTCCACTCAGTTTTGTTGATTTCGTATGGGTCTTTTCCGATTACTTTTAACTTATCCAAGTATCTTGCCTTTGTTATTGTGTCCAGTGAATCTCTATATAATGTCGTCTGACCTCCCTCCGGCGATTTAATACTGTCGTCTTTTGTTGTCATTGTCGATTGTTTACCTCTATCTGTTCGCTCTTTTGCCGCACAACATGGCCGACGGCGCAATGCATCATAGGTAATAACGATTATCGGAAAACCATCTATTTTACCAGTCGATTGCAGGGCAGGTCATTCACATTCATACTCATCTTAAACTACAGTAATAATATAGGATTAATTTAATCTTGTATGTTTTTTGTTTTTTTTAAGGTAGAAAACCAAAAAACCAGGCTAGAAGCTCACACAAACACACAGGGAGAACATGAAAACTCCAGGGAAAAAGATAAAGGAAAGTGAACTACTTGTCATTGTGACACAGCACACCACTGCACACAACAAAATGTGACCTCTGCTTTTAACCCACCCCAAAGGAGAACGGTGGGCAGCTTTAAGCGCCCGGGGAGCAGTGTGTGGACAGTGCCTTGCTCAGAGCACCTCAGTGGTAACTTGCAAGCTGGTGGGCCTTTCAGACCCAAGTCCGCTTCCTTAACCACTAAGCCACCACTGAGATTAACAGCCACCAGCCCTAACCATCCAGTGGTCTTCTTCCCATATTATTCAGTATTATTCATAAAGCCATGTGATGGACTACCATCACATGGCTTTATGAATAATACTGATGCTTCTAATCTTATTTGAGAACAGATTATATCATCTAAATCCTGAGCTAGACTTACTTTCTCAGGTCAAGGGAGACTTATTTTTAAGACATTATAACACCATCATGTTTCATTATTTTAACAGTGAATGAGATTGCAATTCACTTAATAATAACAATAATAATAATAACAATAATGATGGAGTAATAATAATAATGACATTTGTGAACTGAAACTAGATATTTACATGCAACCATTGCAGTCCATTCTTTCCTAACCTCACTTTCCACCTGTTGATAAAGCACATCTAACAAATCTTCTGTCTCTTTATGTCATTTCAGACTGACTCTGCAGAGTGGACACCAGGGCGCTGAGGCAACCAAACCATCTCTGTGTGAAGCTGTTGCCTTATTTGACAGTATGATTTTTAAGAAATGGGTTTTGTCATGCAAAAATCAAGAACGTGTGTTATCACATGAACACAGCAGACTGTCTGAACATGGAGTATCAGTAATGGCTCAGCAATTAATGATACATCTTTTGTAATTTTGTTTCATGATGAAGCATGTACGCTAATAGTTGATGCTGAGGATTACTGCAGTAAGGACATAGTGATTTACTATCAGGAATTATGTGTTAGGTGTCTTGGAATTATGTTTGAGAAGACAATATCAAGGAAAAACAACAACAAATGAATAGCTTTAAAATGCTACTGCAGGGTATGACTATGTGATCTAAAAACAAAAGTCCATATTAAACAATACCTTTTATGAAGATTTTTCCCATATCAAAACAGAAAATGTCCAACTATTTATTTGCTATAGAAGCCCAGGTGGACTTTTCTCAAATCTGTCTTTGCCAAATCAACCTTTTATTATGAAGGACATTAAACGCCCATGGCATGTGAATTTAAAGGGATTTATATATATATATATATATATCTCATCACACAGACCCCTTCCCACCATCACATCACCCCTGTCCTCCAACATTTCCACTGGCTCCCAGTTAAATACCGCATTAATTACAAACTTCTCCTGTTCACCTACATGGCCATCCATAATCTTGTCCCCCCCACCTATCTGACCTCCTCCACATCTTAACCCCCACTCGGTCCCTCAGATCCTCCTCCTCGATCCACCTCTCCATCCCACCTGCCCGCCTCAGTACTATGGGAGCCAGAGCATTCAGTCGCTCTGCTCCCCATCTCTGGAACGCATTACCACCCGATCTCCGTAACTGTGACTCTCTCCCCACCTTCAAATCTCAACTCAAAACACACCTGTTCCGGACAGCATACTCCCTCTAACCTCCCTCCTCCTTGCTTCTGTTTATTATTATGATTTTAAACGATGATGTTCTATGCTCTGTTTCCTATGCCCTGTTTTGCAATTATCTGTTTTTATTTTATTTTATGTACAGTGTCCTTGAGTGACCTGAAAGGCGCTTTTAAATAAAATGGATTATCATTATTATTATATGTTAAATATTTAATGGTCCTTTGACCTAAACATGACTCTGTTACTGACTCTGAGCTTCTGACTGTAAATCAAATTATTTTATTATTAAATTATTATTGTTATTATTATAAGAACAACAATAATAATATTATTGTATGAAGACAAAGGGGAGAATTAGAAAAAATAAGAAATGTATTCTATTTTTTAAACCATTAAAAAACCATTATGTTCTTATAAGGCAGTAATGCTGAAAATTTGAACTCAGTTGAAATGTTCAGTTCATTATTGTCACTGATTATTATGTGTAAAAAGCTATTCATTTTTTATACTAAATTCACCACACCATTTCTGTAATGTGATGAAATTATTTTTTGACTTTGCAAATAACAACAGTGTAAGCTTGCTCAAACACCCAAATGTAAGTTTGACCTATAGTTGACCTAAGTTTGAGCTACATTGTATTACTGTGCTTCTGACCCATTTGACCAATATTTACACCTGGAAATATTTTCTACAATGTCAGCGCTTGGCAAAAGGTTAATCAATTTTCTAGAGAACTGAGTGTCAACAGGTTTTGGACGAGTGGGGTTGCGCTTAACCGAAGCTTCTTTTCAGGTATCTTTGCAAAAGAAGGTGTGGCCGTATATATATTAATGACGTAGATATCTACGTCATAGAAGAGGCTTTAAATACACTGGGAAAGCGGGCGTTTGGCCACAGACGTCGCTCCGTCACCCCGTTTCGTAACAGGCCGTGGTGTCTCTTCCCCTTCTCAGAGGAACAGAATGGCAGCGCTCAGGACCTTTAGAAAATTGTGCCAGCATGCCCAACATCATGCCTATAAACTGCACACGTCCGCACCGAGGTGAGTACGATAAGCCGACTGTACATTCCGTTCACATCCGCCAACATTTCATTTCACTTGTACCACATGTTCGACGATATTCTTTACACCATAAACCCGTTCATTTACACACAACTGAATATGGTGTATTGGTTGCTGAGTTGTCTAATAATGTACACGTATAAGTATTGCTACGGGTTTTTTTTTTAGCAAAATGTCCTTTAATCGTAAAGGTTTTGTTGTATTCTACTGAACTCAATCCCTGCTTTCGCTCATCTGGAAAGTGCGCCCCTAACGGTACACCGGTAAAATTGCAGTAGTTTGAGTGGCTGATGAAATCGGTCTGAGCGCTTGCCACCCTGAGTCTCTCTCAGGAGGCAGGTTTCAGCTGGAGATCGAGGTGTTGATCTGCGCTGCACACTAAGGGGACGTGCATCACAGCCTTTAATGTGTGTGTGAGATTATTTAAAATGGTTTCAATTTTTTTTAGATTTATTTCTAGCATTTCTCTAGCATCCTGTGCAGGTATTATATTTATAATTAAAATTTAGCAGTATGATAATACAAGTTTTTTCTAGGTTTGTGTTCTACATAGAAAAATAACTAATTTACCTGAATTATGTCAATATATGATTTTAACCATCATTAGACCACATTTACATTTTTGTTTATTTTGGACAAACTTTTTCCCTAGTCTGATCCACTTGCCCCATGGCCTCATCTCACTTCACTTTCTATTCCATTGATGTGCTTCTTTTTTGTTTAGTTAATTACTTTTGGCACAATGAGAGGGTCTCTTTATGTCACTTTTTCTGGCTTATTACACCAGAGTTGTTTACCAATGCTGTCTGCATTTTCAGTTGTTATGTAAAAGGAAAAATATATTGCTGGTTTTGTTTGCATAGGAAACAAAATATTTTTAACCACACCCATTATTTGTATAGTTAGGAAGAAATGCAGTCTCAGGCTGTTGTGCAACTCTTGGACTATCCCGATAAGTACATTGTTGTCTGCATAAGCTGTTTTTTCTTCACCAAACACTGCACGTACGGTTAAGATTTTTGACATTACATGTTCTGATTAATGGCTCAGTCAGGTGGAGAAAAGCAAGTTCTAAGGATAGAATGGGTGTTTGCCAAAGCTGAGATGGATTACAAGTTTCTGGTAGCCGTGCATCGTTTAGAGGAGTTAAAAAAAGACCACAAAATAACCGCAAACATGAACATTTAGACAATATTTTCCCTTTTTCTTTTCTTTGAACCCAAAAGTGGCCCCTAGAAATAAAACAGTTATATTTTGGTGCATGCCTTCAAATTACAGTGTAAATACTTGGTTGCAGTATGGTGGACTGTCCAATACCCTTTAACAAAATTGCCATCTGTGTCAGCAGTTGAGTAGATTTTGCATCAAATACTATTTAAAGTATTGTTTTTAAAAATAAGTAATTTTCTTTTTGTTACCATTGATCAAACATTAATATTTAATCTTGTTAATTTAGCAGATTGTTGCTATCCTGAGGAACATTTACTTTGCAATTGCATTTTGAGAATGACATCCATGCTTTTCTTGGTTTGTAAATTAGTTAACTGTCCCTTAGGGTGGCGGCAGTAGTCATCTCAGGAAAGAAACTAGCGTGGCAAATTCAGGAGGAGGCCCGGGCAGACGTGGAGGACTGGGTTCTAACTGGCCACAGGAGACCACACTTGAGTGTGGTTCTTGTCGGAGACAACCCAGCCAGTCACTCCTACATCTTGAATAAGACACGAGCTGCGGCTGATGTCGGTGAGTGGGAAAACAGCCCTGGAAATTATCACACAGCTGTCGTCCATTTGTTCTGAATGGCGTTTTAAACATAAACACCAGGAATTTCCAGCGAGACAATTGTCAAGTGTTCAGATATCAGTGAGGAGGAGTTACTTGATTTGATCTACAAACTCAACACAGACCACCGTGTGGATGGCCTGCTGGTCCAACTCCCACTGCCAGGTACAGAGAATGGAAAATGCATTCCTGTCATAGTTAATTATTGTAGCTGTTCTGACCTTAAACCTTTTCGTTTTATTATAACAGATTACATCAATGAGCGAACAATCTGTAATGCTATTTCTCCTACCAAGGACGTTGATGGCTTTCATGTAGTTAATGTCGGTCGCATGTGTTTAGATCAGTCCACCATGCTTCCTGCTACACCCTGGGGCGTCTGGGAAATCATCAAACGCACAGGTAACAGTAAAGACAAATAACTTCCTCCTGGGGAATAGTGTTGTACTACCACAGGTGTACTGTATTCAAATTTGTTAACTATTCTCTGACAGGTATTCCTACCTTTGGCAAGAATGTTTTGGTAGCAGGCCGCTCCAAGAATGTGGGAATGCCCATTGCCATGTTACTGCACACAGACGGCCGTCATGAGAGACCTGGAGGTAAGTTGTTCTCTTTCTGGTTTAAGGGTTAATTACCGTATTTTCCGGACTATAGAGCGCACCTGAATATAAGCCGCACCCACTAATTAAAAAAAAAAAAACATTTACACATACAGTGGCTTGAAAAAGTATTCATACCCCTTGAACTTTCCCACATTTTCTCACGTTCCGACCACAAACATAAATATATTTTATTGGCATTTTAGATAAAAGATCAACATAAAGCGACACACAATTGTGAAGTAGAAGGAAAATTATACATGACTTTAAATTGTTTTTAGAAATAAAAAACTGAAAAATGTGGCGTGCAAAAGTATTCAGCCCCCTTTGTCAATACTTGGTGGAACCACCTTTCGCTGCAATTACAGCTGCAAGTCTTTTGGGGTATGTCTCTACCAGCTTTGCACATCTAGAGACTGGAATTTTTGCCCATTCTTCTTTGCAGAACAGCTCAAGTTTAGCAAGATTAGATGGAGAGCGTTTGTGAACAGCAATTTTCAGATCTTGCCACAGATTCTCAATAGGATTTAGGTCTGGACTTTGACTGGGCCATTCTAACACAGGAATATGTTTTGTTTTAAACCATTCCATTGTAGCTCTGGCTTTATGTTTAGGGTCGTTGTCCTGCTGGAAGGTGAACCTCCGCCCCATTCTCAAGTCTTTTGCAGATTCCAGCAGGTTGTCTTCCAGGATTGTCCTGTATTTGGCTCCATCCATCCTCCCATCAACTCTGACCAGCTTCCCTGTCCCTGCTGAAGAAAAGCAGCCCCACAACATGATGCAGCCACCACCATGTTTGACAGTGGGGATGGTGTGTTGAGAGTGATGTGCAGTGTTAGTTTTCCTCCACACATAACGTTTTGAATTTAGACCAAAAAGTTCCACCTTGGTCTCATCTGACCAGAGCACCTTCTTCCACACATTTGCTGTGTCCCCCACATGGCTTCTGGCAAACTGCAAACGAGACTTCTTATGGCTTTCTTTCAACAATGGCTTTCTTCTTGCCACTCTTCCATAAAAGCCAGATTTGTGCAGTGCGCGGCTAATTGTCGTCCTATGGACAGACTCCCCCACCTGAGCTGTGGATCTCTGCAGCTCCTCCAGAGTTACCGTGGGTGTCTTGGCTATGTCTCTGATCAGTGCTCTCCTTGTTCTGCATGTAAGTTTTGGTGGACGGCCATGTCTTGGTAGGTTTGCAGTTGTGCCATACTCTTTCCATTTCTTGATGATGGATTGAACAGTGCTTCGTGAGATGTTCAAAGCTTGGGAAATCTTTTTATAACCTAACCCTGCTTTAAACTTCTCCACAACTTTATCCCTGACCTGTTTGGTGTGTTCCTTTGACTTCATGATGCTGTTCACTGACCAGTGTCCTCTTAGCAAACGTCTGAGGCTGTCACAGAACAGGTGTATTTATACTAAGGTTAGATTACACACAGGTGGACTCTATTTAATCAGTAGGTCAACAGCTGATCATTCAGCAATCATCAGGCAACCTCTGAAGGCAACTGGTTGCACTCAGAGAAAAGGGGGCTGAATACTTTTGCACGCCACATTTTTCAGTTTTTTATTTCTAAAAACAATTTAAAGTCATGTATAATTTTCCTTCTACTTCACAATTGTGTGTCGCTTTATGTTGATCTTTTATCTAAAATGCCAATAAAATATATTTATGTTTGTGCTCGGAACGTGACAGAATGTGGGAAAGTTCAAGGGGTATGAATACTTTTTCAAGCCACTGTATAAGCCGCACCGCACTATAAGCCGCCGACATCCAGGTTGAGGAATGACATATTTACCGGATACACAGGAACACATACAGATTTTGTACCGTAAATGTTTATTTATATACCTGAACTGATTGTTTCCGAACAGTGCATGTAACACGGCAGTAAAAGTGCCGATCGAACAAAACAGAAAAGTAATTGATGGCTTTATTAATTTTCCTCCTGCGCACTGAAACCGCTGAAGTCGTCTTCTTCAGTGTCGGAGTTGAACAGCCTCAGGAAAAACTTTGTCACATAGCGTTTTAGTCTCTCTGTCAGTGTCACTCTCTGTGTCACGGTCATCCCGAGGTAAAGTTGCCTCTGAAGGTGCGCTGCTCTCTTCTTCCCGCTGCCGTCTCCGTCTCACTATGGATTCATTAATGCCAAGCTTACGTACAGCAGCCCTATTTCCTCCCTGGCTAGCCAGATCGATGGC